GGGATTGGACTAGATGACTCCTAGAGGTGCCTTCTCATTCTAAATCTGTGATCTTATGATTACTCAAGCACATTGGGAGCAGAATACTGGGAGAGAGGTGAGATATTCTTAGCTAGTGTCTAGTAAAACATTAAATTTTCACATTAGGGTGTTGGACATTTTAATTTCAGGGAGAGAGTTGATAGTATAGAACACCTGTTGAGATATAATCAACTCATATCTACCATCACCCTAGGAATATTGTTTTAAAAATTTATTTTTATTTTCAGTTCCAAATTCTTTTCCTCACTCCTTCCCCAATCATCGAGAAGGCAAGAAATATTATCCCCAATAATCATATGAAGTCATACTAAATATATTTCCATCCTGTGAATATATATCGAAAGATTTTGTGATTTCTTCCAGTGTTACTTAACAATCTTGGAGCATATCAACCTGAAATATTGTGTATATGTCTTTTTACTTTTCCTATGTTGCACATAATTCTGTAATATAACAACCTGATTATTATTAATTTGTTATAAATAATACCAATCTCTGAGTGGATTAATAAAAATGTACATGCTTTATGCTAGGTACTATGCCAAGCACTAGGAATACAAATAAAAAAAATGATACAGCTCTGCCCCTCCGCCCCCAACCCTCAAGGAGCTTATATTCTAAAGAGGAAGATAATGCATAAAGGAAGATGGTAGTCATATAAGGGAATTTTGGTCTGGGGAATCACAGGGAATTGATCTGTAACATAGACAGTTGACATTTCCTTACCAGAAGCAATGGTACTCCTGACTTGATTACTGTTTCCAAAGCAGGAGTTGGAAAGCAATAGTGGTGGGGGGAGGGTGGTAGGTTACAAGTATAGTGGCAAGACAAATTGGCCTATATGGATGGCTGTATAGGAAGTGAAATATATTGTACGAGATTGGTTAGAATAAGTGAATTACACTCTTATTTGCTCCCCAGTCAAGACATCTTAGCCCTAGGGCTGGAATTCCAAAACCGAATAGATCAATTTCCTCAGTGACTAGGAGTGTCTGGTCTAGACTGGAGGTCTGATCTAGAAGGTATGGTCTAGGAGGGCAACAGCAAGGCAGATGGTAAAATTACCTAGGTAGATAGCTGGATGGGATGTAAATGATAGTCTGGTCAGATGTCTGCTACACATAGTGGACAAGAGTGAGTTTGTACTCATTCACCGATCATGACAGCCCCAGGCAGAAGTTCTAAAATGAAGTAAATTGCCTCAGGGACTTAGGGGTTATAATTTACTTTTTAAAAAAAACTCCTAAAATCCATTTATTTATTTATTTATTTTTATTTGTTTTTTATTTTATTATTTTTTTTTACATTGAATTGTATTTTTATCAAACATTTCCCCAATTACATTTTAATCTGGTTAGGACTCACTGGGGAATTTATATATATATATATACATATATATATATACATATATATATACATATATATATACATATATATATACATATATATGTGTATATATATGTATATATATGTATATATATACATAGATGTATATATACATACATACACACATATATGTGTATATATATATATATATATATAAATGTATTTATTTTAAGTTTTCAATATTTACTTCCATAAGATTTTGAGTTCCAAATTTTGCCTCATCTCACCCCTCCCCCCACCCCAAGATGGTATGCATTCTGAATATCCCTTCCCCTAATTTGTCCTCTCTTCTGTCTCTTCCCACCTTCTCTTATCCCCTTCCCCTTCTATTTTCCTGTAGGGCAGGATAGACTTCTGTACCCCATTTCCTGTATTTCTTATTTCCCAGTAGCATGTGAAAACTTTTTTTGAACATATGTTTTTAAAACTTTAGGTTTCAAATCTTCTCCCTTCCTCCCTCCCCACCCACCCTCATTGAAAAGGCAAGCAACTCAATATAGGTTATACATGTGCAGTTATGCAAAACACTTCCATAGTAGACATGTTGTAAAAAACTAACTCTATTTCCCTTAATCCTATCCTGCCCTCCCATTTATTCTATTCTTTCTTTTGACCCTGTCCCTCCTCAGAAGTATTTGCTTCTGATTTCCCTTTCCCAATCTGCCCTCCTCTCTGTCATCCCCCTGCTCTCTTGTCCCCTTCTCCCCCTATTTTCCCTTAGGGTAAGACAGATTTCCTTACCCAATTGAATGTGTATGTTATTCCCTCCTGAAGCCAAATCCTATGAGAATAAGATTCCCTCATTCCCTCTCACCTTCCCCCATTTCTCCTGCACTGTAAGAGCATTTTCTTTCCTGTTTTTTTGTGAGATAATTTACCCCATTCTACCTCTCCCTTTCTTCTTCTCCGAATATAATCCTCTCTCATCCCTTAATTTTATTCTCCAGATATGACCCCTTAATCTTCAACTCACCCTGTGCCCTCTATCTATCTATCTATCTATCTATCTATCTATCTATCTATCTATCTATCTATCTATCCATCTATCTATCCATACATATAATTTTTTTCCCTCCAACTACCCTAATACTGACAAAGGTCTCATGAGTTATAAATATCATCTTTCCATGCAGGAATGTAAACAGTTCAACCTTAATAAGTCTCTTATGATTTCTCTCTCCTGTTTACCTCTTCATGTTCCACTTGAGTCTTGTATTTGAAAGTCAAATTTTCTATTCAGCTCTGGTCTTTTCATCAAGAATGCTTGAAAGTCCTCTATTTCACTGAATGACCATTTTTTCCCCTGAAGGATTATACTCAGTTTTGCTGGGTAGGTGATTCTTGGTTGTAATCCTATCTCCTTTGCCCTTCTGAATACTATATTCTATGCCCTGCGGTCCTTTAATGTAGAAGCTGCTAAATCTTGTGTTATCCTGATTGTGTTTCCACAGTACTTGAATTGTTTCTTTCTGGCAGCTTGTAATATTTTCTCCTTGACCTGGGAACTCTGGAATTTGGCTACAATATTCCTAGGAGTTTTCCTTTGGGGATCTCTTTCAGGAGGAGATCTGTGGATTCTTTCAATTTCTTTTTTGCCCTCTGGTTCTACTAATTCAGGGCAGTTTTCCTTGATAATTTCTTGAAAGATGATGTCTAGGCTCTTTTTTTGATCATGGCTTTCAGATAGTCCAATAATTTTTAAATTCTCTCTCCTGGATCTATTTTCCAGGTCAGTTGTTTTTCCAATGAGATATTTCACATTGTCTTCTATTTTTTCATTCTTTTGGATTTGTTTTACAGTGTCTTGATTTCTCATAAAGTCACTAGCTTCCAATTGCTCTATTCTAATTTTTAAGGAAGTATTTTCTTCAGTAATCTTTTGGACTTCCTTTTCCATTTGGCCAATTTTTCTTTTTAGGGCATTTTTCTCCTCATTGGCTTTTTGGATCTCTTTTGCCATTTGGGTAGGTTATTTTTTAAGGTGTTATTTTCTTCAGTATTTTTTTGGGTCTCCTTTAGCAAGCTGTTGACTTGTTTTTCATGATTTTTTGCATCACTCTCATTTCTCTTCCCAGTTTTTCCTCTACTTCCTTACTTGCTTCTCAAATCCCTTTTGAGCTCTTCCAAGGCCTTGGACAGATTCATATTTTTGTTAGAGGCTTTGGATGTAGGAGCTCTGACTTTGTTGTCTTCTTCTGGTTGTATATTTTGATCTTCTTTGTCACCAAAGTAAGATAATATAGTCTGACTCTTTTTGTGCCGCTTGCTCATGATCCCAGCCAATTACTTGAGTTTTAAACTCTTTGTTAAGGTAAGAGTCTGCTTCCAGTGTGGAGAATGTACTGTCCCAAGCTTCCGGGGTTTATATAGCTGTTTTCAGAGATACTTGTAGGGATCCATGAATTTTCAGCTCTTCCAAGGTGGTATGATAAGGGGCGAGGTGTTAACTCCTTTCCTGGCCTGTGCTGTGGTCTGTTAGTGACCACAAGCACTCCTTTCTGTCCTGGAACTGTGAGGAATGTTTCCTGTCCACGGCCACTACAAGTCTACCATGCCAGTGCTCCCCCTCACCCCAGGACCCCCATCTAGAACTGTGACCCAGGTCCAGGCACGGGCAAAGCAAGAGATTCCTGCCTTAGCACCAACAGAGAGATCCCTGCAATCCCCCTCTTATCAGCCATTCTATTCCCCCTAAGTCTGTGGGCTGGAAGCTCGGGAAGCAGCTGGCCACCCTAAGGCCACATTCTCGGGGAACTGGAGCTGAGACTCCGCCTTCCTCTCTCAGCACCACAGAAACAGACTTTTCCTACTGACCTTTGGCATTTGTGGATTGAAGAGTCTGGAAACTGCCACAGCTGCCTGCGATTCAGCCCTCTGAGGCCTGCTCCAGGTTCGTTGTGGCGTGCGCCCCCACTCCGTGCTGCGCACCGCTTCCAGCCCGGCGGGACATACCTTTCTGATCAATCATCCATGTTGTGTTGGGCTGGAAATTTGTTTCACTCTGTCTTTTTGTGGGTTATGCTGTTCAGAGCCATTTTGAGGGGCTTAGGGGAGAGCTCAAGCAAGTTGCTGCTTTCACTCTGCCCCCCATGATTTACTTTCAAAGAAGTAAAAAGCAATTTTCTTTCATTAGAAGAGATTCTGTCCAGTAGGTCAGCTATCCTCAGGAAGTGCTTTAACTATTTTTAGCCCCAGGGGAACCTTAGTGAAACAAATGGTACATTAGGGATCTGACAGCCTCTAGAATTTCCTAATGTATATAGGGAGTAACTGGTTTACCCAATAGAATTTATCTTAGTAACTAATTCTCAGAACAACCTTACCTTGTTTTACTAAATACAGTTGAGAGAAGCAGAGTGATACTATAGCAGGATAAACCCTAAACCCCTGCTTGGCAAGGAATGTTTTTTTAGGCTGGACTGCTCTTTTACAAGTAAATGTAGTCATTTGGTTCTTAATAAAGCATAGCTCTCCTGAGAGTAGGCTCAGTCACTCCTACCTTTCCTAAGCTGCTGCTGCTTTTTTTTTTTACAAGTTATATCTTTCTTATTAATTGAATCCTGCTTTTCCAGCTCTTGCAGTTCAACCCTGTAGAGCGTCTTGGTGCTGGAGTTGCTGGTGTTGAAGACATCAAGTCTCATCCATTTTTCACCCCTGTGGATTGGGCAGAACTAATGAGATGAAAGCAGTCCAGGGGTCATCTGAACAAGCTCTGGTCCTCTCAGTGACAAGTATCTCTGGCAAAGCTGACTTGCAGTAATTTGTAGAACACCAAATCACTTGGACAAAGACATTTAAAGGAAATGGGGGAAGAAAAAGGCCAAAAGAGAACAATTTAATCTGAATCACTGATTAAGTAAGCCATTGGTTGATTTATACAGCAAGGGGCTATTGTATGTAAACCATTAACCAAGGTGTGGTCTATATTAAATCTGTTTGTGCGTGTTTGTTCATGTGTGCACTTGTGACTGTGTATGTTGGGGAGAAATTATATACTCAACAGAAAAAGGAATGCCCTTAAAATGTACTTCTAATACATTATTGGAAGCATAGAACTTAGTGCCATGTGTAAGGAGAGCCTTGAAGTGTCAGTTAACAACATTTTCTTTCAGCTATAACTGGTGGAAATGATTAAACGACTTAATGTTATGTGCTGAATAAGATACTAGAAGTGCTTTATGCGTAATGTTATATACAAAGTTTAAAAAGCAAGAAAAAAAAGGAAATGTATATTCTCATGAACTCTTTGAGTGCTGCTTGAATGTATCTTGAATGTGGTTACATATTGTTTCACACCTTGGGAAGCCCATGTAAGGGAAAAAACAAGCAAACAACAGTCTATAATGCTCTCAACTTTGCTTTGTGCTTTGTCATTGACATTGGCCATTTGCAACTTACATTCGTTTACTCAATCTTCCTTCAACCATCTCCACCCACCACCAAAGCCACTATTAGTGATTTGTGTTAAAAGACATCATCAGGAAAAAGCTAATAGAGTAATTTATTTCCCCAAATTATGTCACCTTAATTAGGACCAAGAAATCATGCTAAATAAATATCTTGATAAAAATGTAAATCTTTTTTTTCCCTGGTAACAGTTATTTTCTTATGTTAAGGCTTCCTCCACCCATTTCTCCTTGGGAGAATGTTATCCTCAACTTAAAAAAAAATGATCCTCATCAATTTCTGCCAAAAGATTTTTTTTCCTGAAATCGATTAATATGTTATTCTAAATATAGGCTGCACCATCTTCCTCCTGCTCCACCCTCCAAAAAAATATGGCTTGCATAAAATTTGAGTGTAGCTTTCAGTTGCAGTCTTGTATACACTGACTAATATTTAATATATATTGAAGAGTAATAAAAGTGACAGAGATAAAGAGAGTAGGGATGACAAAAACAAATACCATACTACTGTTTGAATAGAAAAAAGTATGAAATGGACTTTTATGGTAAAGATTATTTATATAGTTATTTTGTATAATTATTTTTCAGTGTATACTGATTTTTTTTTCCTTTTCAAAGAGTACATACTTTAGTGGCAGCCTGTCTATAGTCTAACGTGATATATTTTTTTCTGCATATCCACCTTATATTTTATACAGAGGTGTCAAGTGGCCCATTGACATTGTGGCCTGTAACATTCCCCAGAGCTGCTGAACCAGGTTAAAATGTAAGTGGGAAATATTTAACAAAATAAATAAAAATAAAAAGGAGCAGAGATCATGTTAATATGTGGTTTTCTAAGTCAATATGCAGCCTGCAGGGATCTGGTTTAGTGGGTCAGTTGTAGTTTAGGTTTAGCGGACTCAGTTTCACCCTATTGCATCTTAGTTTATAGCTTGGTGAACTTAGGACCTGAGAAATCTAATCAAAGTTGAACTGAATAATGTTGCTATTTCATTACCAACAGACTTGCCCTGGTGATCTATTTGAAGAGTACAGGTACTAACATATCCCAAATATTTGTAATATAACTGTTATCTTTATATGTAGATATTATTGCTCCTCAGCAAACCAACCTGTTTTAATGTTGTGAGGATAAATGCAGTACAGTGGAGTTATTTTCTAAATCTTATACTTGCAGACTTTTAAGTTACAAACAGCTTTGTCCAAAGAACAAAGGACAGGCAGAACTTTCATCAGAAACTTTCGTGATATTCTGCATGCATGCTTTAAAATTGCTTGTATTTTTGAGTTCTGTTGACAGCCTCCCCCACCTCAAGTGCATCTGCACAGCTTCCATCTGCCAATGACCAGGTCCACTCACCAAATTGAAATGGAAAAGGAAAATGCTTTAGTGAAACAAAGGAAATCTGGAAGCATTTTTTTCTTTTTCAGTTATTCCACTACCCTTTTTTTCTCTCCTCCACCCCCCTCCTTCTTGTGACCTGAATGCCATCTGAGAGGTTGTAACAACACTGGAGGTTGGGGAGCAGGTCACCAAGATCATCCCCTCTAGCATATTGGCCAAGATGACATCACTCTCTGGAACTGGATTTCAACTCACCACCCCCTTGTCTCAAAACAGGAACTCCCACAGGTGAGCAACAGGAATGACTTCCTGTGTCAGACTGGTAGGAAATCTGCCTGTGCTCAGACCTGGGACTTGCAGAACTTCCTTCCAGAAGCGCCCTGATTGTGACTTTATGTTACCATGGTGAAACACCCTGCCGTACCACTTGATTTGTGTCTCCTGGGCTCAGATCATGGTAACATCAACTGATGAGTAATGTTGGTCTGTTAGGATTATTCCACTCTAACAATTTTTCGATATTATTTTGGTTATATGTATATGTATAAAAATACACAAGTGTATGTATGGTCCAGAAAAAGGCAGATGGGGATCAGACTAGGAAAAATGGTACACTAATCACCTGCTTTAATGTAGACATATATCTTTACATGCCTTTAACAAACCTGGTTGACCTGCTTTTCTATAATACTGAATCGTAGAATAACTTTTTTTGTGGGGGGGAGGGGAAGAGCATCCAATGCATTTTTGATTTATCCCTTTACAAATATTTATTCTAAGGGCTAATGCTATGGGTCTCGTGGAAGGAGAGAGGGAGGAATTAGATGCAGTCATCATAAAAGAAAACAGTGCCACTTGGTAGCGTATCTTTACACTAAAAGATTATATCTTACGTTTGTTACTGTATTTCTTAAACAACATATCGCTTAAATATATTAGTTTACTAGTTTCTCTACAAAAGAACTACTTCCAGAATTACTATCAGTAATAATCCTTTACTGTAATGAAGCTCATTTGACATGCTATTATGCCATTCATCTGAGGATCTAAAAGCGCCAACCAGAAAACAAACATTTTATCTAATTATTTCAAATATTGCATGAGAGTAGAGAGTGTTTAATGAATCAACTAGGTAGAATAACTGAAGTATTGAAAGTACACATTCCTATTTGATTCTTTGCATTCTTTTACCTACAACCTCACTTGGGTTTCATTCTCCCTGGGCTTTCTTATTTTTCCGTTCTTTGTTCATGAGAATGTGCACTATAAAATTATTTGTCATTTGGCTTAAGTTCTATTTGTTTCTATTCCTTGGGTACATCTTAGTTCACTGTGAACCAAAAAAATTCCTCTCTCTGTTATACCAGGAATTTTAGGGAAAGTGGTATAGACTTGTAGCAAGCACAATCTGAGAGATTTTTGCTTAGGAGCCATGGTAGACTCAATATAAGAAAGTCAAACAGTGACAAGCTGAGCACATGGGAAGGCTTTTCCATGTAGCCCCAAGTATCTCCGCCAGAGCCTCCCACAGGCATTATTGCATAACGTGTAGGGTGTTACTTTGACACATGTCTGATCTAACCCTCGGTATATCCACCTTCTTCCTATCAGCTGGGAGATTTCAGGTTCTTGCTTTACTTTTCAAAATACACTTCATGGAATCTAAGTTGGAAAAGACCTCTGAGGTTACCTGCTCCAACTCACGCCTGAACACAAGCCCTTCTTTAACCCATTGGGCAAATATCTTCCATCTTTTGTGTGAAGACCCCCAGTCAGGGGGAACCTCTAACTTTTCCCAAGTAGTAACTTCCATTTTAGAATAGCTTGGATGGTTAGGAGGTTTTTCTTTACATTAAGCTGAAGTCAGTCTTCACCTTCCACTTATTATCTCCTCTTGTGACAAACAGAATTCTTGCTTCAACTAAAAACTCACAGTATACAGTACTTTAACGTTTGTAAAATGCTTTGCATGCTTTATCTTATTTGATACTCACAACTCTTGTGAGGTGGGTGCTATCATCGTACCCATTTTACACATGAGAAAATGGAGGTTCGGAGAGGTTTAATGCTTTTGCCTAAGGTCACGTGGCTGAGGTAGAATTTGAACCTAGGTTCTCATTTGATGTTCTGATATTGTGCCCCTTCCTCACTACCCCCACCCCCAAGCTAAACATTCCCAATTCCTTAAACTTAGCTTTATAGGGAATGAGCTCAAGATCCTTCACCCTCCTGGTTGTCTCCTCCTCTTCCTCCCCCATGTTGTCTTGCTTATCATTGTCTTTTCTCATGTGTGATCCCCAGAGCTATATATAGTACTCTTGATGTGCCCTGATCCAGATACAGCACAGGACCATCACTTTTCTAGCTCAAGACACTTTGCCTGTCTTAATGCATCGTAATGTCTTAATTAATTAATGTCTTAATGGATTGCATACTATTGACTGATGATAAGCTTGTAATTGGCCAGAATTTACAGATGAACAGCTGTTCGTTCATCTATGCCTTCCCCATCTTGTACTTGTAAAGGTACAAATCAACATCTGAACCCACATGTAAGCTGTTACACTTGTCCCTAGTACATTTCATTTTCTTAGATTAGGCTTGGCCTTTTTATAGCCTGTTGAGCTTTTGGGGAGATCTTGATGGTTATTCAACATATTAGTCCTTTTTCGGTTCCATGGTGCCCTTGCTGTTTAGTCCTTCCAAGATGGCTAGAGTGGCTCAGTAGTCACCTCAGCCAGTTTTTTCAGTAATCTGAGTGTGGTGTAATTTGTGCCTGGTGATTTGAATTTCTCAAGATTGTCTAGGTTCTCTATTAGTGTCTTCCCCTTTAGCTTGGTTTTCAACTCTCCACTAGCCATTTTCATTCTGGCCTTTCTAGTCCAGTGAGCATTCTCCTTGGCAGAGAAATTAAAGCAAAATAAGATTTGAATGGTTCTGCTTTCTGTCCTTTTTCTGTTATCTTCATCTTATTCACCCTGAGCAGCAGTCCTATTCTTTCTTTGATCATCCTCTTTTTTGCAACATAGATTTTAAAAATGTCTTTATGTCCTTAGCTTTCCCTACTAGGCTTAATTCATTCTGACCTTTAGCACTCTTGACACTGTTCTTATAGAATATAACCATATATTCATCCTATGTTACCTGCCCTTATTTTCATCATTTTAAAATGAATTGGCTAATGAGTTTTTTGTGCATGCATATTAGTTTCTTTATATATGATACACCTTTTTCTTACTCAATGGAATTTTTTTCTACTTATCTTCTTTAATTTTTGAGAACTTCCCATCCTGCCTGAGCTGAATTTGCCTGTAGAATTTTAAGGGTACCGGATCTTGCCTATTTATCTCAGAATCTGCTGAAGTCTGTGTTCCCCAAATCTAGAGTGCATTTGAATATTCTAAAGCCTAGCTTCCTTTACAAATTCAAAGATGTAGTGTTGACTTTCTCCAAA